ACACTGCCCGTAGTTTAAAATTTAAAATCACCAGTTTTTCCAATTGTATGTATGTATAAAATCTTATAAAATATGTATAAAATTTTATACATACATACAATTGGAAAAACGGGTGATTTTAAATTTTAAACTACGGGCAGTGTAGCAGCTACGTAAGAATACACACCTGATGATGGCCATTTAGGGCCGAAACATGTAGTGTGGAGGAAGGGAAGAAGAACTACAATTAAATTGTTGCACTTAAGACGGAGTTTGTCTCATATATATGATTATCAACCTTAGCCCCAGCTATAGTCACTTATCATGTGACAATATGTTATTCAATGTTTGGCTGTCTTCATGCAACAAGACAATTTCTTGGCCGGTGAAAATTACGCAACCCAACTGCGGCAATGTAAGTCATCTGTGGATTCATACATATTTGGATCCAAAAGAATTCTTTTAATAACTGGAACAAGCAGTACTCACAATCAAATGGAAAACTCTCCTTCTGAATGGCCAGCTTGTAGAAGAGATTACACCTTTTACACTAACACTATTGCTGCATAACTGAGCTAGCACTCACCTGGCACAATCTGAGTAGAGTACAGAACAGGTCACAGTAAGGCACAGTCAATGTAGGAAGCAAAGAAATAGAAACTGCAAGAAATATGCTAATGATGATAGAAATGTGTTGCTGATATTAACTGACATTACTAAACAACATGAAATACAGAATACATACATTTCTTACCAATATTGCTTTGGAGTTCATTCAGCTTGTCCCTCACAGGAGTGGTTCTATGCCACTGTATCCATTTCACTGCTCCTTGGAGTTTTGTCATCTTAAAAACTAAAGTGTAAACATATTGTCACATGTTGGGTGTATGTCACACGACAAATAACTTCATGCCATATTTAATGTAGTGAATTTATTCCACTCGCTCTTACAATTACACAAGCACTGCCATCTGCAGTATCACAGTTACTTCTCCTGCTTCCATACACTCTGGCAAATGCTAGAATGCAACTGAGTGATTATTCTCTCTCTAGCAACTGGCTGAATACCCACTACCCACTCACTCGCTACTGAATAGTGTTCGCTGCTCCTTATTTAGGCTCGGTACGGACAACACACAAAAGAGTTACATGATAGGTAGCACTGTTGCGTAATGTCGTGTTTACCAACTGCCTAGCAACAGTCATTGCACAGGCTCCCCTGTTGTGTGACGCTGTGTTTACAAAGGCGTTGCTGGGCAACACTGCTAAGAGTTGTTCATTGCTGCGTAGCAACCAGCATGCTTCAGCTTGGCTCGGAGAAACACCACTTTCCTTACTGTTTCGTAACTTGGCAACTGACCGTTTATCAAGGGTCTGCCTTCGTGGTAAATCATTCCACCTCCCATTGCCAAGCAACAGTTAGACATGTCACACTATAATGATGGACTTTGTACTGTCCATGATCTTGTGTGCTTCTTCCAGTCTTTCAATCTCAATTACATTTCACATATGTCTCCTAATTATAACACATTGTTAGGTGATGGAGTGACTAGAGATGGTGTTTGGATGAGTAACTAAATTTACTGAACACTTGCATAACATAACTACAGATAACAACAGCATTAATGCTAGTTCACACACTCTGCGGTTCACTACAGCATGTAATAAGTCTTCTCAGTCTGCTGTCTTCACCAGTCTTCTAGAAATGGCTACCAACAAAGTAGATCCCTCAGCTTCTGTGTTCACATCCTTACTGGCTGGTGACTGTCTTACAACTAACTAAACTCTAGACTAGATAGCAGTGATATCCCGTGATAATTACTATAGTTAGCTTTATCACCCTACTTGTAAATTGGTACAATAATACACTCCTTCCACTGATCAGACAATTGTTCCTTATTCCAAATAGAACTGATTTACTTATGGGTCTCAGAGAGTAATGTTTCAACTCCTGCTGGAGTCAGTTCTGCCAGACTTTGATCAGTGCCTGGAAATTTATACCTTTTTAACTTTGCAATAACAATTTCAAACTCAAAATGACTAGGATCAGGTACTAATTGCTCACCTGTATGTATTTCTATCTGCCTAACATCACTGACCCTGTGCACATTCAATAACTGAGAGAAGTATAGTTCCTCCACCTATTCAAAATGTTGTGGGAATTTGCAAGCAGATCACCATTCTCAACCTGCACTAAGTTACTTCTAGGTTGGTAACCCCTCTGAAAGTAATTATCGTATCATATCATATCATTTATCAT